CATTACACTGATGACATTACATTGACTGGATTTAGTTAGAAAGAAGTAGGAATGACTGTAAGCTTGCCGGTAAGAGAGTTACATGCGAGAGGGTGGGAAATTAATCCAACAAAAATTTAGGTGCCTTCTACCTCAGTGAAATTTCTAGGATTCCCCTGGTGTGTGTCATGCTGAGATGTCCTTCTAAAGTGAAGGATAAGTTGTTACCTCTGGCCTCTCCTACAACTAAAAAGCAAACACAACACCTCGTGGGTGTCTTTGGATTTTGGAGGCAAAATATCCCTCATTTGAATATGCTACTCTGGACTATTTATCAAGTGTCTCCAAAAGTTGCTAGTTTTCTGCCCTTGAGATCTGGAATTGAACCCACACCTGTAGTTTCCAGCCAAACAAAAGATAGGCATATGAGTTGAACGTTTACCTGAGGTAAATACACTCCTTGGAGAGAACAAACATGGGAGAAAGAAGGGTTACTTATGCACAGGGAGACAGCTCAGGGGGCTGGAGTCCATGGAGGGATGGACACAGGGAAGAGGTAACTATGGGGAGGAAGTGGGAGGGGAGCTGTTGCAGTGTGGTAAACTATGGTCAATGTCATGAAACAAAGTATATGTGAACCACTGTATGGAAAGCAAATTTGCTCTGTAAACCTTCACCTAAATCACAATAAATAAATAAATACATACATACATACATAAATAAAAGTTGCTAGTTTTAAGTGAGGCCCAGAGCAAGAGAAGGCTCTACAACAGGTTTGAACTGCCATGCAAGCCACTCTGCCACTTGGGCTGTATGATCTGGCTGATCTAATGGGTCTTGAAGTGGCAGTGGCATATAGGGATGCTGTTTGGAGTCTCTGGCAGGCCTCCATTGGTGAATCACAGGGCAGACCCTTAGGATTTTGGAGCAAATCCTCTTCAGACAACTACTCTCCTTTGTAGAAACAGCTTTTGGCTTGTTACTGGGCCTCAGTTAAAGATGACTCTTAATCATGGCCTACCAAGTTACCATGTGACCTGACCTGCCCATCATGAACTGGGTGTTGTCTGACCCACAGAGTCATCAAATTGTATGTGCACAGCAGCACTCCATCACTGAATGGAAGTGGTATATACAAGATTGGGCTCAAGCAAGACCTAAAGGGACAAGTAAGTTACATGAGGAAGTGGCCCAAATGCCCATGGTCCCCACCAGTCACATTACCTTCCTTCTTTCAGTCTGCACCTATGGTCTCATGAGAAGTCTCTTACGATCAGTTGACTGAGGAAAGGAAAACTCATCCCTGGCTTACAGATGTTTCTGCGAGATATGCAGGCAACACTTGGAAGTGGACAGTGGCAACACTGCTGCCCCCTTCTGGGACCTCCCTGAAGGACAATGGTGAAGGGAAATCCGCCCAGTGGGCAGACTTTAGCAGTACAATGGTTGTTCATTTTCCTTGGAAGGAGAGATGGCCAGACTGCAATTTTATATTGATTCATAGGCTGTGGCCAGTGGTTTCACTACATGGTCAGGGACTTGAAAGGAACAAGATTGGAAAATTTGTGGCAAGGAGGTATGGGGAAGAGGCATGTGGACAGATTTCTCTGAATGGGCCAAAGAAGTAAAGATATTTGTCTCATATGAGTGCTCACCAAAGTGTTACCTCAGCAGAGGAGGATTTTAACAACCAAATGGATAGGATGATGCATTCTGTGTATACCAGTCATTTTCCTTCCCCAACCACTATTGCCACTGCCCATGGGCTCATGAACAAAGTGGCCAAGGTGGCAGGAATGGAGGTTATGCATGGGTTCAGCAACATGGACTTTCATTTACCCAGGTCCATCTGGCTACAGTCACTGCTGAATGCCCAATCTGCCAGTAGCAGAGACCAACACTGAGTCCCCAAAATGGCACCATTCCTAGGAATGACCAGCTAGCAACCTGGAGGAAGACTGATTACATCGGACCACTTCCATCATGGAAAGAGCAGAGCAGCATTTTGTTCTTACTGGAATAGACACTTACTTGGGATACAGATTTGCCTTTCCTGCAGGCAATGCTTCTGCCAAAACTACCATCCATGGACTTACAGGATGCCTTATCCATCATCATGGTATCCCATATAGCATTGCCTTAGACCAAGGAACTCACTTCACAGCAAATTAAGTGTGGCAGGGGGCCCATGCTCATGGAATTCATTGGTCTTACCACGTTCCCCATTATCCTGAAGCAGCTGGCTTGACAGAACAATGGAATGGCCTTCTAAAGACACAATTACGGCACCAGCTAGGTGGCAATACCCTGCAGGGTTGGGGCAATGTTCTCCAGGAGGTTGTTTATACACTAAACCAGCATCCAGTATATGGTGCTGTTTCCCTATAGCCAGGTTGGGAATGGGAGTGGCACCATACACTATTACGCCTAGTAACTCACTCACAAAATTTTTACTTCATGTCCATGCAATTCTATGCTTTACAGGTCTAGAGGTACTAGTTCTAAAGGGAGGAAATGTTCCCACCACAAGATACAACACTGATTCCATTGAACTGGAGTTAAGAATGCCACCTAGACACTTTGGGCTTCTCATGCCTCTGGACCAACAGGCAAAAAAGGGAGTTACCAATTGGCTGTTGTGATTGATCATGATTACCAATGGGAAATCTGATGGATATTGCATAATGGAGGTAAAGAAGACTATGTCTGAAATACAAGAGATCCCCTAGGACATCTCTTAGTACCACCTTGCCCTGTGATTAAAATCAATGGAAAACAATAGCAACCCAATTCCAACCTGACCACTAACTGCCTAGACCCTTCAGGAATGAAGTTTGGGCTACCCCACCATGCAAAGAACCACAACCAGCTGAGGTGATTGCTAAGGGCAAAGGGACTACAGAATGGGTAGTGGAAGAAGGTAGTTCAAAATAGCTATGATCATGTGACCAGTTGCAGAAGCAAGGGCTGTAATTGTTTTCAGTATCCTTGTTTTACGTGTGTGTGTTTGTATATATATAGATATAGATATAATGACAAGTATCTTTTTTTATTCCCTCCCTTATTTCATTACTTATTAGAAAATATAAGATGTAAATGTGGCTAATTACTCTTTTGGCTTTATGTATGCTAGTTGTGAATTTCTCAATTCACTTCATAAGAACTTATGTGATTGATTCTATATCTCTGTTTCACCTTTGATACCAAGGGAGAATTCATCTAGATTCTTCTTACCTCTCAGAGGGTACTATAAGGATTGAAGAGATCATAGGCAGGAAAGTAAAAAAGCTGATTAACATAAAGTTGCAAAAGAAACTTACCTGAGGTAACAGAGATTCCATAGGAAATTTTTGAATGAACTCTCCTTGTAATTTATGATAAAATTTTAAATGCAGCCTTTGCATTTGATGTTTCCAAGAGTGGCTCCTTTACATAGTTCAAGTCCTGGTTTAAATGTTACTTCCTCAAAGAGTCCTCCTCTCTCAACACTAGGTTGCTCCTAGTCAATTTCTGTCTCATTACCTTGAAACACACATTACTATATGAAATATTTATTGTCATTAGCTTCCCCTCCTCACTGGAACACTGGAATAGAAATCTCACCTGTCTGTATGGTTTTCTTGCCCTGTCTAGAACAGTGCTTTGCACATAGTAGGTCCTGTTGTTGTTGTTGTTATGTGCCATCAAATCGGATCTGACTCGTAGGGACCCCGCCTTGGGTTTCTGAGGCAGTATCACTACTGAAGTAGATTGCCCCATCTTCCTTCTGAGGAGTGGCTGGTTGTTTTGAACTGCCAGCCTTCTGGTTAGCAGTCAAGTGCTTTAGGCACTACGCTACCAGAGCTCCTGTTAGGTATTTGTTAAAATACTTGCTGAGTAATAAAAATAGTGGTTTTTAAAATCTCCAGTTTCATATATATTATCTCATATTATCATTACAACGTTGTGAGCAAAATGGGATTGTTAGCCACATTGTTCAGAAGCTCAGAGAAACACCTCACCTAGTAAAGGATAGAGCTGGGATTGCTCTGCACGTTGACTGCTTTTATCAATACATTCATTCCACTCCTAGGGCTAAGTGTTTCAAGTAACTTTGCCATTAAGAAAGTGATGACTCTGGTGGACAGTAGAAACCACCTTAAC